TTTTGTATTTTTAGTAGAGATGGGGTTTCCCCATGTTGGCCAGGCTGGTCTTAAACTCATCTCATGATCCACCCGCCTCAACCTCCCAAAGTGCTGGGATTACAGGCGTGAGCCCGTGCACCTGGCCAGAAAACAGATTCTTACTGCACTTATGCAAATAACTATACTGCTACAAGTTGAAAATACTCACAAATAGCTTCCAAATTTTGGAGAAATCAGGCAGAGAGAAACAAATATGCTCCAAACTTTGTCCACAGGAGTCTATTTTACTCAATTGTTAAAAGCTAAAGTTTTTTTTTTCCTGAAACTTGCATTCAAGAGCACCTGTTAAAGTTTTGTTTTGTTTTGTTTTCAGATAGAGTTTCCCTCTGTTAACCCAGGCTAGAGTGCAGTGGTGGGGTTTTGGCTCACTGCAATCTCGACCTCCTGGGTTCAAGCGATTCTGCTGCCTCAGCATCCCAAGTAGCTGGGATTAGTAGGTGCCTGCCAACACACCTGGTGAATTTTTTTGTAGTTTTAGTAGAGATGGGGTTTCACCATGTTGGCCAGGCTGGTCTCGAACTCCTGACCTTGTGATCTGCCCACCTCAGCCTCCCAAAGCACTGGGATTACAGGCATGGCCCACCATGCCCATCCCCTGTTAAAGTTTTATAGCTGATTAAAGGCCAGACACAGTGGCTCACGCCTGTAATCCCAGCACTTTGGGAGGCCAAGGCAGGTGGATCACCTGAGCTCAGGAGTTTGAGACCAGCCTGGCCAACAAGGTGAAACCCCGTCTCTACTAAAAATACAAAAATTAGCTGGGCATGGTGGCATGTGCCTATAATCCCTGCTAGTCAGCAGGATAATCTCCAGATAATCACTTGAACCCCAGAGGTGGAGGTTGCGGTAAGCCGAGATTGAGCCATTGTACTCTAGCCTGGGCGACAGGGCAAAACTCTGCCTCAAAAAAAAAAAAAAAAAAAAAAAAGTTTTATAGCTGTTTATAAAACAATCTTCTAAAGAGGACCAAAATGAGACAACAATTGTTTGTGGATGACAAAAACATTTTAGGGCAGCTATGGTCAAAGACACAATTGACAAGGAAATTTGTTACTTCTGTGGTATGCAATAATTTAACATAACAATAATTATTACTGATAACATATACTGAGGCATATCAGAATTATAGGAATCTTATACAATTTTGTAGCACATACTAATAACATATTTCTATAAATATAACCCAAAGATAGTTAAATACCATTATACATTTGACAACGTTTCCTGCATGATTTTATTTATTTATTTTTTTGAGATGAAGTCTTGCACTGTCACCTGGGCTGGAGTGCAATGGTGTGAAACTGAAACCTCCACCTCCTGGGTTCAAGTAATTCTTCTGCCTCAGCTTCCCGAGTAGCTGGGATTACAGGTGCTCACCACCGTGCCTGGCTAATTTTTTGTATTTTTAGTAAAAGTGGGATTTCATTATGTTGGCCAGGCTGGTGACCTTCTCTGGCCTCAGCCTTCCAAAGTGCTGGGATAATAGGCATGAGCCACTTACCTGGTTCCTGCATGATTTTAATACATTAAATAAACTGAATATGTCTGGGACTTTAGGGGACCTAGCCTTTTTTTTTTAACTTAGAATTTGATCTTGTAAGGTTTGTTAAATATAAGAGGTTTAAAAACTGGATATCACAAAACAGAATCCCAGGTCACCGTAAGTCATTCATTTAGCCAAAATGATAATTCAAAAAAATTTAAAAAGAAAAACCTTTATTCTGATAGGTGACTCGGCCTTCCAAACAACAAGACCCAATGAAGACAGGATGAGGCCAAGGGAATCTGTTCCTTTTCTCTCCCCTCCCCCACCCATTTTTGTAGTTTACTTAAAAGGCAAACAGAAATTTTTCATTGTCTCTCAATATGACATAAACAGCTTTTTTAAAAGGGAAAACCAAATTCCATGTTTGCATTAGTGCATCTTTAATAACAATGATAGTTTTAAATAAAATTGTATAAATCTATCCTGGTTTAGTTTGACCATATGTCAGATTTTCATAAACCTTTTAGAACCCTTTACAATTTTCCATTAAACAGCAGATCAATTTTCTTTTTCTTTTTTTTTTTTCCTGAGACAGAATCTCGCTCTGTTGCCTAGGCTGGAGTGCAGTGGAGTAGTCTCGGCTAACTGCAACTTCCGCCTCCCAGTTTCAAGTGATTATCCTGCCTCAGCCTCCCGAGCAGCTAGGACTACAGGTGCCTGTCACCATGCCCAGCTAAGTTTTGTATTATTATTATTTTTTTTTGAGATGGAATTTTGCTCTTTGTTGCCCAGGATGGAGTGCAGTGGAGCAGTCTCGGCTCACTGCAACCTCCGCCTCCAGGTTCAAGTCATTCTCCTGTCTCAGCTTCCCAAGTAGCCGAGATTACAGGTGCCTGCCACCATGCCCGGCTAATTTTTGTATTTTTAGTAGAGACGGGGTTTTACCATGTTGGCCAGGCTGGTCTCAAACTCCTGACCTCAGGTGATTTGCCCACCTCTGATTCCCAAAGTGCTGGGATTATAGGTATGAGCCACCATGCCTGGCCTAATTGTTGTATTTTTAGTAGGGGCGGAGTTTCACCATATTGGACAGGCTGGTCTTAAACTCCTGACATCAAGTGATCTACCTGCTAAGGCGGGTGGGATTACAGCTGCAGCCAACAGATCAATTTTTAAGGAAACCTTGTTATTCAGACACATGGGCCCAGATTCTGGCCCCACATCAGTGTACTTCTATTTTAATATTTTAACCTATGGAAAAAAAGCTAAATAAATCCCTTTAAATCTTAGCCAACTTGCATATACCCACAGAACTTTTTCACAACATTAACCCTTCGCAAACCCTTTTCAACTTGCTTCATTTTGTCCCATTACTCTTTTAGGTTAAGATAATCTTTGGGCCGGGCGCGGTGGCTCAAGCCTGTAATCCCAGCACTTTGGGAGGCCGAGGCGGGTGGATCACGAGGTCAAGAGATCGAGACCATCCTGGTCAACATGGTGAAACCCCGTCTCTACTAAAACTACAAAAAATTAGCTGGGCATGGTGGCGCGTGCCTGTAATCCCAGCTACTCAGGAGGCTGAGGCAGGAGAATTGCCTGAACCCAGGAGGCGGAGGTTGCGGTGAGCCGAGATCGCGCCATTGCACTCCAGCCTGGGTAACAAGAGCGAAACTCCATCTCAAAAAAAAAAAAAAAAAAATAATCTTTAAAAAAAAAAAACTAGACAAAATTACATTCCCTTTGACAAAAACCATATTCCCATGTCTTCTTATAATCTCCCATCAAAACCACATTCTACTTTCCTTCTATACCTTGCAACCTTGTATATAAAACTGTTTCTCCAGTCTCTTAATTACATGTTACAATGTTAACTCTTAGCAACTTTTATTTTGGTGAAAAACCTGATAAGTAAGTGATTTTAATTACGTACTGGGGATGGAGCCTAGAACATCAGACAGGAGTGCAGATAAGGTCTCACTCTTTTTAGCGTAGCTAGGGGGCATGGCTCTCCACAGTCCCCAGACCTTGTCTATAATCTATGCTCCGAAGTAGGTAAATTGAACAATTTTGAAAAGTCAAAGAAGCAGTTTATGACTTTAAAGTATTTAGCAAATCTGATATCTAACCTTAATTTAGACCAAATGTCTAATTCAAGACATTTTTCTTTTACCAATAATTTAAAAATCTGCCTGTTTCCAAAAGATTACTAAAGTCATGTGAACAAAAGGCATTAAAGTTTCTATTTTTTTCTAATAAAATATGATTTAAGCCCCTATTTTTCTAAGCCAATTGATCAGAGTTCTTTTATACATAAACAGTATATACACAACACATACAGACAGATAGAAGATCCAGTAGTTGTTAAGATTTTTCATTTGTCAGTTTCTTAACTGGATTACTGGCTTCAGGGTAGAACACTTGGAGGAAGAGGGCCAGGAAACCTTGCATTTTCTAGGGCCTAATAAGCAGACACAGCTACAAGGCAAACAAATCCCCAAAATTAAGGGTGCCATTTTATACTGGATCCTGGATCCACAAAAAGGAAGGAAATACTATGGGAGAAGGTCATGCAATGCTCCTACCATGCATTTGATTGCAAGGCAACCTAAAGCCAATCAGCCTATTTTGTAATCAGCCCATCCCCTTATTGGAGTCTCATCTCCCAGTCGGGGGTGGAGTGGGGATGCTTCCATATCTTCCAGGTAGCCAAAGCATGCTTCTCTGATCCAAGCATGCAAAGAGCCAATATCCCTCCATAACTGCCATTAGCCATCCCTTAAAGTATATTTCCTACCTAGTTATTACACAGCAAGACTAAAAGCTCTTCCATAATGCAAAGTAATTTTTGATACCCCTAAAAGTAAAAGCCATCAGATAACACAATGCACAACAGAACAGAGCCTTAGATTTTGAGAGGGATCTATCTTTTTCTCCTTCAATTCCTGGTGTTCCATGAGAAAAACAGGTTTCTGGTGCCTCCTCTGCTTTTTCTCAGGAGTCCCAGGCTGTTAGAATTTATCTTAGGTTCTCTTATGCTGACATCGAGTGGCAAGAACATAAAATGGAAAAACAATTGAGTTAACAGAGAAGAAAAAACCCTCTTTATTCTTCAGAAAAATAAGATCCAAGAAGATAAAAAACATAAAGGCCTTTAAAATATTTGTACAGTGTGGGGAGATATCTAGGTAGATTGATAGACAGACAGATAGATAGACAGATAGATAGATAGATAGATAGATAGACAGATAGATAGGTATTAAGCTGATTTTAACTATAGAGCTGTTTTTTCTAAGAAAAAATCCTTTTAAATCTCTTTTTTACCAGACTCTAGCCAGGACAGCCAATATTTCTGGCTTCTGAATTCTACCATAGGTAACTTTCCACATGGTAACTTAAGAACATTTATAAGTTTTAACTAAGGTTATAATTTAACCATGGACGCATAAGGTGTTTCCAAGAGATGGTAAGCAGGTTTTTTTTTTTTTTTTGGTTGTTATTTTTTGTTTCTTTTTTCCAAGATTTAGAATCTCTCCAAGGGTAGTTCAGAGAAAGGAAAATCCAAGACAGTCAAGACAGAAAATGAGAAACCAGCCATTTTTCCCTCAATAAATGGCAAAGTTACACAAAGAACAAACCAGAAAGGCATCATTCCTGAAACTAAGAATTGAACTCAGGTCAACAATGTCAAAAGATAAAGCCTTAGTTAACTAAGTTACACAGCATTGAACAGTTTCTATTGCTTTTCCCAGAAGTCTAGAGCAGCCGATTTCAAACTTGCAAAGGCTTTTAACTGCTTGAGATAATTTTTAGGGCTATTGACATGAACCCCAAATTTCCTGTCCTTGGATGGTGGAGACCAAGAGAAAGTATCCCCTCATGGTCATGAGGTTAAGCTCTTAAAGACACAAAACAAGACAGAGAAATTTCATTTGGTATTGGTTTCAGGGACCTGTAGCAAAGTTTGTAACCAACCAGCCGGCAGGGATGGCTTGAAACGTGGCCTTAAAGAGGTCCTAAACCCATGTTCTATCCTTTGATACCCTTCTCTCCACTACAGAAAGATAAATTCTTAGCACAAAGTGCACCAAATCTATTACAGTAGTCTCACAGATACTTTTCTTTCTATTAATTAAACCCTTGCAGGGGAGGCAAACAGCGACATTTACCATTTACACACAGAGAGAGAGAAAGCAGAAACTTGGGCCGTAAAGATTTCTTACCCTTTCTGTCAGCATACTAGGTTTCCGGGTTCCCTTTCTCTGCAGCTTCCGGAAGAACAAATGACCTTTCTCGCTGTGCCATAGCTGTGGGGGTCAAACCATTTTACAAAAGAAAATCACCCTCTTCTGTTCTATGGAACCATAAAAAGATTCTAAATTTTGCAAGATGCTCCCCAATGGGCTGCATGGGGAGAAGGAAGGAGGCATTGGCAGAACCTAGGATACGCACTACCCGACACTACAGACACTCTATGACCTAGCTCCAGCACCTCACCATGGAGCAACAGACAGATACCCTGTGATACGGCTACAGTTACGGGATGTCTCCCCAAGACCATTCTCCATTGCAATTAAGTCCATGCACATTGGGTCGGCAGTTCCCCACTAGCAGACAGGGTGCCAGAGTCAGCCCCTAGTCCAAGAGAACTATGTGGCTGCCTGGGCTAGCTTCTGGATCTGTCGCCAGAGGGGAGCTACCGAATCGTGGGATAGCTGCAAGGGCTATCCCAGACGAACCCCCAAATTTGTAACCATACAATTGGTTCACCTTGCCCAGTACCTAGACAACCGATTTTTCAAGACAGAGGAACTGCAATAAAGAGTAACTGAGGCAGATCCCGCTGTGAGGGAGACTGGAGTTTCATCATTACTCAAATCAGTCTTCCTGAGCATTCGGGGATCAGAGTTTTTAAGGATAATCTGGTGGGTGGGGGAAGGCCAGTGAGTCCAGACTGCTGACTGGTTGGGTTGGAGATGAATTCATAGGGAACTGAAGCTGTCCTCTTGCACTGATTTGGTTCGTGGGTTCCTGGGTGGGGGCCACAAGTTCAGACTAACCAGTGTATTGATCTGGGTGGTGCCAGCTGATCCATCAAATGCAGGGTCAGCAGAATATCTCAAGTACAGATCTTAGGAACAGTTTAGGGAGGGTCAGAATCTTGTAGCCTCCAGTTGCATGACTCCTAAACCATAATTTCTAATCTTGTGGCTAATTTATTAGTTCTACAAAGGCAGTCTAGTCTCCAGTCAAGGAGACTTGTTTTGGGAAAGGGCTGTTCTCTTTGTTTTAAACTATAAACTAAATTCCTCCCAAAGTTAGTTTAGCCTATGCCCAGGAATGAACGAGGACAGAAGCAAGATGAAACTGGTTAGATCAGATCTTTTTCACTGTCTCATTTATAATTCTGTGGTGGCGGTTTCACCCAGAGCCCCCAGCCTCTGCAGAGACATGCAGAGCCCCGCCCCCACCCTACACTCTTATTATTAAGAGAATGCAGCTAGCGTTCCCGCCTCTTAAAACAAGTGAACAAGGCGCAGGATTCTAACAGGCGCCCGGCGGGTTTCTCCTCGGGGCGGGGCTGAGACGGCCGGAAAATGGCGGCGGCGGTGGGTCCGAGGGTCACTCTCCAGGGCGCCCTTGACGGCTCTGCCGGCCGGGCCACCTACCTTGCTAGTAGGCGGCCTCAGAGCGTGGCATGAAGGGGCGGGAGGGGGCGGTGACGAGCACTTGGCGGCTCCAATGAACGCCCAGGAGTCCGGGTCGCGCCCAATCAGTGCCCAGGCGGGGGAGACAGGGTAGGGTGCGCGCGGGCTGCGCGTGTGGCACACAGGGAACGCGCGGGAGCCTTCCTGCTGCCAGCCCTGAGCTGTCTGCCTAGCTGAGGTCCGCCCGCCTTGCATCCCGGCCCCCGGCGCCCGCCGGAGGTCGCTGAGGAGTGAGACAACCTACTGATCCGCGGCCCGAGCCCAGGAGCGCCCGGTGCAGCGGTCGCTGAGCCGTCCTGGCGTCTGCTGCCATGACCGACTCTCCTCTCAGAGGAGACTCTTCCTCAGCGGTGGCTGCAGAGAGAGATGAGCGGCAGCTCCTGGCCGCGGGACCGTAAGACGGGTTCGTGGTCGGCCAGTTAGGGGGACGCTGCGGACGACCGTCTGCGCCCTCCCGGGCTACTTCCTTGGGCCCCGGAGGCTTGTGGCGGACCCCGCAGTAGGCGGCATGTTCCCGCGGAGCCTGCTGGTCGCCTGGCTGGCGGGGGCGCGGGGCGGGGGCTTGTTGGCGCTGCTGGCCAATCAGTGCCGCTTCGTCACGGGCCTGCGCGTGCGGCGCGCGCTGCAGATCGCACAGCTCTACGGACGCCTCTACTCCGAGAGCTCACGCAGCGTCCTCCTCTCCCGCCTCTGGCGCCGGCTGCACGGCCGCCCTGGCCATGCCTCTGCCTTGATGGCGGCGCTCTCCAGCGTCTTCGTGTGGGATGAGGAGAGGATCCAGGAGGAGGAGTTGCAGAGGTGGGTGCTGCGGCGAGCTTGTTCTGGGCCCGGGGCGGGGGGTGTGAACCCTGGGCCCGCCCTGTGGTCGGTGGCCCTTGTTTACGCGGTGGTCTTTTAATTGGTGATGCATTCGATTGAACCTGCTTGAGCAAACCGCATTGCTGTTTGCCCCTATTGTGAATTTGATTTGTCAGGTTACAAAATAGAACTGGAAGTGTAGGTTGGTTTAGGAGGAGACTTTGAGTGGGGAGAGCAAGACAGTAAAAAAACAACATTGTAGAAATAGATATCGAAGGTATGGAGGCCGTTGTTCACATAATCTGTAATCTTTAACACACCCAGAAAGGTGCAAATTCAAAATAGATTTTAAATTTGGCCTAAGGATGGTGAGCTGCTGTTTGCAAAATGACTTCGATCCAGATGGGACTCAGGCCTTGTAAGAAATTCCAGGAGAACCCTCTGTCATCGTGACTCGTGGCATAATTGAGAGCCTGGAAGGGATTTTGCCCAGTTTACACAAACCAGCAGCCTCGATATTTGAATCTGTAAGAATTAGGTTAGATTTTTGCGACGTTAACTAGAACTTTGGGAATAGTGTCCCTTTAGACTCTGAGGTCATGCTATCATCATCAAAACTGTGAAAAGCCCAGTACCATTGATTACATTTGTTAATCTGTAGTTCTGAGACTGTAGATTCCAGGTAATCTCATGGGGAAACTGCTTTGGCTCTTAATTTACCTTGTGTTTGTATTTTCTTTGCAACAGATAGTCTTAAACTGTGCCCTCCCTGCACATAAAGCACTTTGTCGGCTGGGTGCGGTGGCTCACGCCTGTAATCCCAGCACTTTGGGGTGGCTCACGCCTGTAATCCCAGCACTTTGGGAGGCCGAGGCGGGTGGATCACGAGGTCAAGAGATCGAGACTATCCTGGCCAACGTGGTGAAACCCCGTCTCTACTAAAAATACAGTATGTTAGCTGGGCTTGGTGGTGGACACCTGTAATCCCAGCTAGTCAGGAGGCTGAGGCAGGAGAATTGCTTGAACCTGGGAGGTGGAGGTAGCAGTGGGCCGAGATTCGCGTCACTGCACGCCAGCGTGGGTAACAGCAAGGCTGCGTCTGGGGTGGGGGTGGGGAAGCACTTTGCCTCCAAACTCAAACTGATTTCTGGATCCAGAGACAATTCCCTCCTTCCACAGATCTCACACCCATCTGTTTATTCTAGATATTTCCTTCACAGGGAGACAACCTGTTATTCCACATTTTTTGTTAGGTTAAAAATTGAAATACCCCAATAAAGTTTATACCATGGCCTGTGTGGGAGGTGTAACACCCAGATGCCAGGGAGCTATTTGTGCCATGCTATGAATTATGGGTAAATGCAAGTCTATCTTAAGAACTGGGAATACTTTTCCTAGCAGGAAAGATAGTTTATAAATGCAGCTTAAAATAACAACAACAAACAATCTTTCAAAAAAAGTTAAGCTATCAAAGCATGATAGATATTTTGGCTAGTTCCTGTTTGTGTTTTTGCTACTTGGCCATTGGTTATAATCAAAGTCTCTTGGGTGTGAGAAATAAAAGAACAGCAAGAAAACTTTTAGGTTGAAAAATTATCAGTTAACTTTGAATTTTCATTCTATTTTGATGATGAAATAACCGTGTTCCACAGTTAAGTTTGAGAGGAAAATCTCCAGTTGGAATTGCTGGGAGAGGAGAGGAGAAAGACCAGAAAAGGGCTACTGGGTACAAAAGAGAGAAAAGGAGAGTTTAGGGGTGGGAGTGGAGTAGTGTTGGGGCTTAAGTAGTAGATGACACTCTTTGGCTTATTTTATGCACTTTTACGGATGATGTTAATAAATCCTGGAGCCTCTGTTTAGCAGTGCTTCCTTGCAGGAGTAGTGGGGATAAAAGATAGGAAATGAACATAGTAAGCATTTGAGTTAGTCACTACTTAACCATAGCAGAGAGATCAGACCAATTCATGGCTGAGCCAGGAGTATTCATTCTGTTTCCCTCTGGTCAGACTGTCCCTGAAACCTGGAGGCAATTGAAATACTGTTGGTTCTAATCTAACTCCAAAAGAGGGACTGCTCTGAGTTAACCAGCTTTGGAATTTCAGTGCAGATGAACTCCAGAACACTTTTAGGCTGCACTTTGACTGTCTTTAGGGTTATTATAATAAACGCCCTCATTTAACATTTTATTGTTTGATTCATGTTAGAATTTGGTTTTTCATATAATTAAAATTTGATTATGTTGTTAATCTTGAGGATTTTTTTTTCTTTTTTTTTTTTTTTTGGGGGGACGGAGTTTCGCTCTCATTACCCAGGCTGGAGTGCAATGGCGCGATCTCGGCTCACCGCAACCTCCGCCTCCTGGGTTCAGGCAATTCTCCTGCCTCAGCTGCCTGAGTAGCTGGGATTACAGGCACGCGCCACCATGCCCAGCTAATGTTTTGTATTTTTAGTAGAGACGGAGTTTCACCATGTTGACCAGGATGGCCTCGATCTCTTGACCTTGTGATCCACCCGCCTCGGCCTCCCAAAGTGCTGGGATTACAGGCGTGAGCCACCGCGCCCGGCCTTTTTTTTTCTTTTTACTATATTTGCTAATGTGATAGGAAGGCAAATATGCTATTCAACAACTACATCTTGGTTGCACAGTGGTTCCTTGGGTCTTTGTTTTGATAGCTTATCGTGTTTATATTTTATTAAAATATTCTGGGTACAGATTAACTTATTTACTTTGTGTTCAAGTATTCTATTTCCTTTATAGTAAGCACTGCTGAGGTTGTCATAGCTAGCTTAGAACATCTTGGACTTCGTTTGTTCTAGTGAGATGATTTTTGGGTGCTTTCCATAATGGAGCACAGTTAGAGTGTGTCTCAAGTGCATTTCTTTCATTGTTAATGGAAGAAGAGCATGACTGTCACATGGCCCCTAAATTACAGCCTTTGGCTCATCTGTGCTGATTCTGTACCAACTTGTCCTGGCACAAACTAATTCGGACATGGCTGTCTTGGTTAAGTGGGTGGAATGTGTGGGGTGTCGTTTGAATGTGTGCCTTAAAGTGGCATGTGTTTTCCTTATGTTATTTGATTCCTATTCAGAATGACAAAGCATAACTTTGCCTTCTCTTCTTTTGTGCTTAAGAAGATCTTACTAAATATGGTCTTATTAATCAAGCACAGCAAGAAAATTTAAGAAGTGATTTTGACTGGCTGCTATGGCCAGATGTAGAAATGAGGTCTTTTAATACTTGTGCTAGTACCCAGTTGTCTTCAATTAAACAATCAACAAAAAAATCTTGGGATCACTGTGTTTGCCGCTAGCTGGCATTCTGTGATTCTAGGGCAAATCTAATGGAAAAATACAGTAGTCATATTTTTGATTGCTTTGGAACAGTTAAAAAGATAAGTTACAGGAACAAATAGAGGAAGGATGTTAAGAAATGAAAGGCGAGGGGAAAATGTTCCATTAACCTCCTCATAGTTTCTTAAAAGTTACAGTTCATTGCTCCAGAAATTTGAGTAAATAAGTGCCATTGAAGTTGCATGAAGAAAATTGGCCATTTTCTCTTTTCTGTCTTTCAGGGCATTTGGGATATGTTAAACTTCAGTGTGTTATTGACTAAGTAAATGCTCAACATAAAGTCCTTTTGCCTTAAAGGGACTTTTTTTTTTTGCCATTGTCACTTCAGGGTATCTTACTGATAAATCCCTAGAATCCTTTGCTAGCTCTTCAGAGCTGCATAAAAGTAGACCTCAATTTTTTGAGGTTGTCTTCATTATTTTACCATTAACTAGTTGTCCCAGAACTGCAATGAGCTAATTGATGTCTTTCCTTCCTTTCCCTTTTTTTCTTTTTTTTGAGACGGGATCTCGCACTGTCGCCCAGGCTGGAGTGCAGTGGTGCGATCATGGCTCACTGCAATCTCCGCCTCCTGAGTTCAAGCGATTCTCCTGCCTCAGCCTCCTGAGTAGCTGGGACTACAGGCGCCCACCACCACACCCGACTAATTTTTTGTATCTTTAGTACAGACGGGTTTCACCATGTTGGCCAGGCTGGTCTCGAACTCTTGACTGTGTGATCTGCCCCACCTCGGCCTCCTAAAGTGCTTGGATTACAGGTCTGAGCCACCGCATCTGGCCTCTTTCTTTTTTTTCTTGAGACATAATCTCACTCTGTCACCCAGGTTGGAGTGCAGTGGTGCGATCTCGCCTCATTGCAACCTCTGCCTCCCTGGTTCCAGGTACTCTCGTTTCTCAGCCTAGCCAGTAGCTG